TTTTTTACATACACAGAAAAAAAGTTTACTTGAACTAAAAAAATTGTAAGGAAGACCAAAGTTGTTTTGGAGCAAGATCCAATTTTCTTCAGACATGAAAATTTTACTCCATACAAGATAAATTTTATCTTCCTAAATATTTTCTAAAGGCAAAAAAATTTATTATAGAGCCAAGAACTTTTTCTTTCCGTGTATGATTCTTTTATATAAAAAATTTTTAAATTTTTAATTAAAAACTATTGAAATTAAAATTAACATTTCACTATAGGTACTACAATAAAAATAAAAAATCTTAAACTTAAACGACTCATACAATTACTAGTTACAAATTCTTTATATTCCAGATATAACATGATTCCAAGTAGTAGCTGCATCTGCTAGTCGACTTGAACGAGCACAATTTACCTCGACATATATCAGGGTTTCAACTCAGCCTCAGAGTACTAAGGCAAAGTGTAATGTAAGTAAACTAATATATAATGCAACCAAAGTGTATTTAGCTCTATAGAGCAGAGATACACTATCTCGTTACTTTATACTTTATTTTTTGAGTTATTTCTTGTATCGACAGGCGATAGGTACTTGGAGTCAGTAGTAAGCTAGTATCTGGTACCTAGTACCTGGTACTTTAATACTTTTCCCATGAATAAAAAGAGACGGCGAGTTAACGCAATTTTCAATCCACGCTCAAGTTGTTGTTGCCTGTAGGCGATCGTTGTTCTTTAACATTACTTTTATTTTTTTCTTCTTTTCCTATTATTTTTTTGTTTTGTTGTAACTATACTCGCCTTATGAGTAAAAGAATAACAAGAGAACTGACATTATGTTATTTTGTATTATAGATCGAGTACTCTTCTCAGTACTATACACACAACTGGACCCAGAGCGCAAAGAGTAAACGTTGATCGTTGCGATAATTAGGGAATACGAGAAGTAGCAATAAGTACAGTGTAGAAGCGAGAAAATACGAAACTGGATCGTAAGTTAACGGTACAAATAATTAAGATAAACGATGATAACTTGATAGTTATAATTTTAAAATAAGTCTTATATCAATTGTCATTGTTATCAACAAATGTTTAATCATCTGATATCATATTTCCTTTCAAGAGTAATCGCTCATCATTTATAAGTATTTTTTTTTTTTTTTAAATAATATAACTAATTTTGATCTGTACAGATACAACTAGTACTACACAATACAGTAATGTTACGCTATTATAATTTTTTTGAGCAATTATTTTTATCATTATATAGCGGAATCATTGTCAGCTGGTCTATTATTAGCGATGAGCGTTGGCGTTCTTGTTTATTCTTTTATTTCTTTGGTATTCGTGTTTTATTTTATTTTATTATTTTTTCGAATAATATATAATGTCCAGCACAGCCGGAAGTCCCGACACTATGTCTGGGACTGTCGGTGTTGGAGATGATAAAACTCACGCATTACATTAAATATCTCTCATTCGTTGTAATATTATTCTTAAATAATACGTTTCTATCATCAATATTGTATTTATTATCTTATCTCATCTGACGATTTTGTCCATTTTTTTTTCTTCTGTCATTTACTTTTACTTTATTATTCCAGGTCTAATCTGTCCAGCGTCCAGCCACTAACTGCTGTATCATCCAAGGCTAATTCATCATAATAATAAGGTAGGATAAAACAACCTTTGAGGCTTTTTCTATAATTGACCCTTGAAATACTCGCATATAATTAAAATCATCAGATAATAATAATAATAATAAAAATTATTTTTACAAGTTATAAAAAATATTAAACGTTTGTTAAAATTAACGTCCGGCCGATCCTCCTTTTTGTAAAAAAAATGATCATCAGCGAAAAGGAAGTCTTGAAGCGTGACTGGTGCGTGAACACGCATCATTTAACGGCAAAAAGTAAGTCTCGGCTCTGTCTTAACTTTTCTTCTCGTGCAATTAGAATGCGTCGCGTGTTGAGATGTCGGTAGAAGAATCTTATAGTCTGTTTATATTATGTACACCAACCTTTGTATTGCGTTGATGTACATACGTACATACATACAGTTTATCTGTATACATACAAATACATTAGACTTTACACACATTTATCTAGACGGGATTCCTCATTCTAGCCATATAGTTCAACACGACACATCCCTTTTCTATAATCCAATATATCTATGTATTATAAATTGTAATAGTACTTACGTACTGATGGTTTATAAGTGTTAAATTCGTCCAAACAAGTGTTAGTTACTCTGTATACAACATACTGTTAAGTTAAATGCGTAGGCTGATGATGTTAATACTTAAGTCAGAGTGAAGACGATGTCCGTATCAAGGAATAAGGAATGAGTAAAGAGGATAAAGAGCGATGACACGTACGATGGACAAAAGAACATTAAAAAATATTATTTTATCTGCGCGAGATTATTTAATATTTCTATAATCTAAAGTACACACCCTGAACATTCATTGTTTTAAAGTTAGCCGACGTTTTTAATTTTTTGATTTTTTTTTTTAATAATTAAATTAACACAACAAAATATTTTTAAAAAATTTCACTTACAGTTTTTGAAGTTTTTTACAAGTGAAAATTTTTTTAAAATTTTTTTGTAATAATTTTTTCAATAAAAAAAATTCTGAAAATTTTTAACTTAATTTTTATAAAGTTTTGATAAATATATGATTTAAATATTATTTATTCTCTTTAACATCTATCAAACTTTCTGGGTTTCAGGTGAATAATAGAGTCATGGCTAGATAAAGATATTTTGGTGTTTTAGTTAAAAAGGGTCCAAGGACTGTCACTGAGAAGGGAATCACAGTACAGATTGGAATCAGTACAGAGGGTCCAGAATTGATATTATAGAATGTATTCCAATTGGGGTGTCCATTTATTGATTATTTATTGCGATAGATGCTTATGTAAGAACATTTGTCATTCGAGTCATGGATTACTAGCTTAGCTAGCTCTATCGACTCGAATGCAAGTAAATAGTCTTATTAGTCATAATATTATGTTAATGTTATATTTCATAGTATGGTATTGGATTTTATTATCTCCTATGCTTAGTTATGCTGCTGAAAGTACTTAAATGTGTTGTTATTTGTACGAGAAGTTATTGGTGTATGGAGGAAGTAAAGGGAATAACAGACGGTGAGGTGAAGAGAGGTACAGTAAGTAAAAAGACAGCTGGAGATGGAGGGAATTCAGCCGCCCTCTTCAATGAATTATTCATATAAAACGCAAACTTAAACTTTAAATCGTACGACGATGTTGATCGGTTATTCTTGCTTCTGGTTAGACCCGTATTTTTATAAACACTTTTTGAGGACGCAATCGATGACTAATGTCTTTAAACACCCACATACGAGATTATTCGAATAAAAAAATTAATTTCGAAAATCAACTTTCATATAAATTATGTAATGCTTTTTTTTTTTTTTTTTTTACTATAATTAAAGTTTAATTAAATAAAAAATATTTTTTATTAAACTTACCGGTGTTGATTTGTAAGTTTTGTTTTTAAAATTTTGATTAAACTTTTTTTTTAGCAGCACTTTGAATTTTTTATTGACTATTTATACAGACACTTTTAAAGAAGATATATGGATAAAAGTAGTAAGCCGGTGCTTGGAGAACCAGCGCGGACAGAGTGCCGAGCGAAACTGAATAGAATAAACGAGGAAGCGAAGGGAAAAGAACAGAAGCGTAAGTGTGAGTACAGAGCAATACAAGGAGATACGAGGGGCACCGATCCTACAAATGGATGAGTGTACTGAGAAAATGAGACGGTTATAGTAGTAGTTATTATTATGCAGAGTATATTAACTTGGAGAATATGTGTACAGATATAATATGTACTCCCTATAATTGGGAGTAAAGGGTATTAATATGAGTTTTTTTTTAACAAGTTCATAAAATATTTTATGTCGTTATGTCGGTCCATTGAAATCATCCAATGATTCCATTGTTCAAATCATTGCGCTGGGAGTTTTTTGTGCCGTTTTGTTTCAAAAAAAAGATCATAGTTTTTTTTTCGTGGGAAGTTTCTTTAACTTCAACAACTTCGATGAATCAAGAGTGAAATTATTTCGTGAAGTATAAAATTTTGAAGAATGAGCTGCAGAAAGGAAGAGACCGCTCTGTGTTAGATACTGAAAAATTCATTGAAGTTTAAGTACTAAGGTTAAACTAATATTTAAAAAATACTTCTTTTAATGTTTGTCTTGCCGTAAATTTAAGTGGTCTATTTCAACAGGCTATAAAATTCCCATGGTTATATATCTATATGTGTATAAATTGTGAACATGGTGCATTATGTTCTATAATAAAAAAATTTTTTTAATACCCCAATGGTGCTAAAATGTATTTTAAGATAAATAAAAAATCAAATTACAGTGGAAACACGATCTTATGATTACGACTTTCTTATTACTTATTTTCTTTTTGTCATAAATCATTTATAATTAATCTATAAATAAAAAATTTATGAGTATAAATAAAAGACATAAAATTTTTTTAAATTATTACACAATCAAGAGAAAGTTATAAACTTATTTATTCATAATGCTAAATATTCACGTAGAATGAAATCATCGATGACTAATTTTCGCAGCTGTTTTTCTGTGTGTTCATTATTCTGTGCGTTTAATAGATATCGTTCATAGATAAAAGGTGACTTTGTATTCAATAGCCGATGATCACACTAAATTAATACATACCCCTTTTAGAGTAATATGATAAAAATATCAAAGGATAGAATTAAAAAAAATTTTTATAACAATGTTATGAGAATGCTTAACATAAATTTCATTATAACACCAAATAAAATAACACTCAAGTATGTTTCAATACTCTAACAATACTTTATTATTTGAACTTTTCATTTGATTATTTGTACTTTCATTTTGAATATAAATTTATTATTTTCTTAATGGAAAATTAGTTATATCTATTATTTATTTTAAACATAAAAAAATACCTTTATGGCCATTAATTATATTTATAATCATTCGGCCTCTAGTGGATCTTCACCGTTGAAAAAATCAACACCCTCTAAACCTTCTGGTAAATAACTCAGTCCGGAATCTTCATGATGCTTCATATTGTAACCTTTTCCGTATCCTATCAAATAAGTTTATTGAATTAATTAATCTATATATTAAGAGAATAAGCATAATTTTGTGGCCAGTGTATTGATATAAAAATGGATTTTTATATTTAAATTTGGTATCGTTGGAAGTCTTGACCTGGAGTTGTGCCTTTTCATGGTTTTAAATCATTCTCACCGATAGTCAATTTATTGTGATAAGTATTTAGGCTGAATTTAAAAATGCTATATCTCTAGATACATTATTAAGAAATGACTTTGTTTCTTGTGAACTATTGACATTTTTAAAGATATAAGCTCATCCTGATGTTACACTCATCGAGACCTTTCATTTGAGTACCCACATCAATTTTTCATATATTTATATATATTATATATATATATATATATATGTATATATGAAAAATATATAAAAAATGCATGTGGGTACTCAAATGAAAGCTCTTGATGAGTGTAACATCGAAATAAGTTTATATCTTTAAAATATATATTATATATATGTATATATGAAAAATATATCAAAAATGCATGTGAGTACTCAAATGAAAGCTCTTGATGAGTGTAACATCAGGATGAGCTTATATCTTTATAAATGTCAATAGTTAAAAGAATACAGTGCAATTTAACAAAAGTCATTATTTAATAAAGCAAAATTTTATTTATTTATAGTGTACCAGTCACGGCAGTCACATAGTGACTGCAAGGTTGCTAGTGATTGATTAATAGAATTTATTTTATAAAAGTATAAAGTATTACCGAGTTCTCCCATAAGTTTGGTTGGAGCATTTCGAAGATGCAAAGGTACACTAGGCTGTGGACCTTTATGCTCTCTAACAATCCGCTGCGCTGCTCTAAGAGCATCCTCCATTAATCGTGATTTAGGAGCTTTTGCTAAGTATATAGCGCATTGAGCTAGCAGAACATCACATTCAGGCATTCCCATCATTTTACAAGCATGCATAGTGTGAACTGCTATACCTAAAGCTTTTGGATCTTTCAGACCAATGTCCTCCGAAGACATTCGCACTAATCGACGAGCAATATATACAGGGTCTTCTCCACCAGCCAACATCCTCGTGAGCCAGTACAGTGCGGCGTTTTCATCACTGGCGCGCACAGATTTATGTAGAGCCGAAATCATATCGTAATGTTGATCTCCTTTTTTATCATACAGCATGTGAGTTTTTTTCAAACTCTCCTTGATGTCTTCCAGCGTTATTAATTCAGGGCCGTTTGTTAATAAGTCTTTTTCATTTGGTACTATAGACTGAATGGCCAACTCTAGGCCACCCAACGCTATCCTTGCATCTCCATCGCAAGTTTCTGCTAAAAATTCAATAGTTTTCTCATCAATCAAAAACCTTGGTACTTCTGATAAGCTATTGATATCAATACTGTCCTTGAATATTACTCCCTCTACCGATTCTACTGCGCGATTTAAAATATTCAGTAAATTTGCTACTGTTAATTTCTCCAAAACAATTACTCGACATCGGCTAAGTAATGCAGAATTTAGACTGAACGATGGATTTTCAGTAGTCGCTCCAATTAATTTTATCGTGCCTGCTTCAACGTGAGGTAAAAAAATATCTTGCTGGAGTTTATTAAACCTGTGGATTTCATCCATGAATATAACCGTTCGGCGGCCAAATTTTAAATCATTACCGGCAATTGTTGTTGCTTCTTTTACTTCAGCCACTCCACACATTGCAGCTGACAGTTTTACATATCGGGTTTTACCAGATGGATCTTTTTTACACATATTTGCTATTACATTCGCGAGAGAAGTCTGTAAATATATATAAAAAAGTTATATTTCAGAGAAAACAATGAGAAGGGACAAAAAAAGTAATAAACGCTTGGAAAATTTCCTACCCACAATAAACATTACAGCCGTAATCAATTAAAGTATTCACTTATTATGATTTGTAATTAATGACAACAAAAATAAACATACTTTACCACAGCCTGGTGGTCCCCAGAGAATTACGTTTGGAATTTCGCCTTTATTTAATAATTGTAATAACATACTTTGTCCACCAAGTACATGAGCCTGCCCAACATAGTCGGTAAAAGATGTTGGTCTCATTTGTTCAGCAAGCGGTACATGGCTTTGTTTTTTTATTGGCTTTGTAGTAACAGGAATTTCCTAATTTAAAACAAACAATTAATAATAATAAAAGTTAAAATTTAAAATTATTAATAAATTTCATGCCCGATTGCCTTAAGAAAATATTTATTAAAGATACCTTATTAGATTTTTCCTCAGGAGATTCATCAATAATATTATCAACAAAGCTACGCTTATCAGTCGACGACGACGACGATAGAAAAAGCTGTGATTGACTTAAATTAGTATTTACATTTTTTTTAACTTTTTTAACAACATTGGGACTCTTCGCTTTGGATTGATTGTCAACTCGTGGTCTTTTGAAAAATGTCTGAGGTTCTGAGGTAGATTCGTTCAAAAATAAGCACTTGGAAGCATGATTTTCGATAAGGGATTGAGAAAACTTTTTTGCACAAATTGGACACTCAACTTCGTTGTCCATTATTGATAATTATTTACAATTTAAATATTAATCAAAAGCGATCTGTAAAATTGTAAAATAACAACAAAAATTATCAGTATTGCAAAGAACCATTGTTGACATTTTCTTATGTTTATTTACCTGTCAATAATAACTTGTCAACTGTCACGGTTTTCACAAAAATGAATATTTAATTTTCTGCACCCAAATTCAAATTCAAAAATTAATTTTTCCATCAAGTAAATCGACAACATCAAAACATAGCCAAGCTTATATGTTATGCCCGTAGGTTATGATTTAGCTGCAAAGCTACATTTTCAATAGTAAATTCACTGTTTATACTAACGCAGCCAATCCTGAGATACATAAAGATGAATTCTCATGCAATAATATATACTGTGATGCACCCAGTGCATCCAACAGGTGACGCTACCTGTTATTAGAGCGCTATCTATTATGAGAGCGCGAATTCAAACGAAATATTCAAACTAGTAAATATTAAATGATTAAAATTAGTTAAATTTTATATTCGAAGTAAATATTACAGTCCTTTATTTAATGCTTTTACTCTTACCAGTTGTAAAATAAACATCTTTTGGTTAACTCTGTTTTATTTATAAAAGAAAATAAAATAAAATAAAATAAAAAAAAAAATTATCAACGTGGACTTGGCGCGACTTTTTTTACAGTGAAACTGTTTTTGTTCGGATTATTAATTATTCAAACTCAAACATTAGTCCAACATATTATAAATAATATAATATTTATACTTTCATGTTATAATTTACTATAATTTTATTGTAATTTAATTATAAGTTAATTTTATTATAAATAGATTTTAAAAAGGGTTTGTTAAATTAATAAGAATAGTTGGATAAACATAATGACTGTATTGCTAAAAGTATATATAAGTGAAGTCCAACTTTCAGGCCGATAGGCTGAAGTAAATATATATAGATATAGAGAAAATACATGTTAGTGTATAAGGATCATTATACATTATTCCTTAGAGTGGATGTATGTGTGGAAGTTATGGTGGGAGAAGAACGGAGTTTGAAGATCTTCGGAAAAACTATGTAACGACACTTCTCATCAAGAGATTAGATTGCTAAGATCACGTCATTTTAAACCTCAATTTTATATTTTGAAGCTTTTAATATTTTGTCAACTCGAATAATAAATTGAAACCAACTAAATAATTTTGATCAAAATTAAATTACGTCTAAATAGAATTCTTTTATTTAAAATTATTCCTTTCCCGCACTGAAACCGAGTATTTTAATACTCCCGGGCGAAAGAACTACAGTAAGTAAAGTTTTAAATAAATAAAAATAACATCCACTAGATGGAAGCATAAAAATACTAGAGAACCATAAAATAATTTGATTTTTGTCGTGAAATATGAAAGTACGTACCAAGTGTTGAAAATGAATCACGATAAACTTGAAAAGTTATACAGCCCTCACGTGGTGGGAAATAAACATAAACAAGGTCATTCACTACATATTTCATGTTTCAAAACTAAAAATGCCGAAACTTCCTACATCAGAGAATTCGTATTAATTAAAATGATACTAAGGGTCAGTTTTTTAATCCGGGATAGAATTTTATCCAAGATTAGATTATTATTATTGTCAGTATATCTTTTTTCTATTAATATACTATTTTATACTTAATTTCCCTCAAAACTTTTGTAATACCAATGTGTACAAAGATGAAAGTTAAATTAGTCGACTTCTAAGAATTTTTAGAATTTTTTTTTTTTTTATCGAAAAATAATTTTTAAAAAATTGAAACAAAAATTTTCATATGTAGAAAGTTTTAAAAATTATCCGTGGAATTTTTTAAAAATAGTTTTTTAGTTTAAATTTTTATTAAAAAAAAAATCAAAAATTTTGGAGTGTCGGCTAACTTAATTTATGAAAATGAAGTTAGCTGACAATTGAAAAGTTTTATGAATTTTTTATCGAAAAAATTTCAATTAAACAATTAAAAAAAAAATATCATATGTTAAAAACTTAAAAAACTATAAGTGCAATTTTTTATAAATATCTTTTTAGTTGTAATTTTATTAATAAAAAAAAAAATCAAAAATTTTTAGACGTCTGCTAACTTCAGTGTCATCTTAATTTTCATTGTACAAAGCCGTTTGGTGTTACAATTATTATAGTAAATAAATAAATCAATATCTATGTATCTAAAATATACAGATATATTTTTGCATTTAATAAAATTTTATCCCGGATTAAAAAACTGGCCCTTAGATTAAAGTATTTATTAACAACATTTCCAAAAAAATTTACAATGAAAAAATGAGTTATTACTTAAATTGATTTTAGCATAAGTTCATTTATTCTTCCCGACTATAGGTATATTTTTCGATCAACAGTATTATGCTGAAAAATTTTTCTAATTTTTCAGAAAATCAATTTATAATCATAATAATGTATTGATATTATTTATTTTAATTATTTTACAAGTAGATAAAATATTAATCGCTTTAAAAGCGATTACTTAAAGCCATTGAATCTTGAATACAATTGAAGCTACGTCATTGACAAAGAATGTGCTGCTTAAATATGTTCACACAACCAATCGTAACAAATCATAAACTATATAGCCAATCACAAAATTTGAAAATCATGAAATCCAGCTGTACGTTGTTTGGCATTCTAAATTACTATATAATTTGGAATTTTCGTTACCCTCACACCATTTTAGTCTCAGTTGTCTGCAAGCAACATCTAAGTCTTGCAATTTCATTGTTGAGCCAAGAACACTGTGACACGTGCATAGAAATAAAAGATATATTATAAAATTGGTTTATCATTACTTTTGGTAAGTAATATATATCACATAATTGTTAATTAGTTTAATAAAAATAAGAGTGAAAGTAGCAAAAGAATAAAAAATACCAAATTATGTTTAGGAACGTTAATTTTATAATTACGCTTTGGAGAAGTTTATAAGTCGAGTGGTACAGATATATTGCTTAATGTATATTTGTACAGCATATGTAATATTTTTCATATTTTTTTTCACCACGTGATTTGCTTAAATGATTAATATTTTAACTTTTTATTTAATAGATAAAAAAATGGCAAATTCGAAGGATCAACAAGTTGATGAATTGGAAGATGAAATGAATAAATTTGAACATGAATCGACGCCATCAACTTCAATAAGCTATATTGAACCTGTACTAGAAGAAGAATTTTTTGCATATTTTGAAAATTTTATTTTCAAAAGTATTGATGGTTATCATTGTAATTTGTGTGGTAAAGATTTTGTGTCGGTATCTTCGATAATGGAACATTTGAATGATCAAAAGCACGTAAACCTTGTTGTCAATAAAACACAAAATCAGGACCTTGATGACGACTTTGTGATTACACCGGATTTGTGTAAAATTCTTGTTAAAAATAACATCTTTAAACACGATTCATTACTGAAATGCTACTCGTGTGAGCTCATCCTCGAATCGGACATTTTTATTCAAGACCACATTGATAGTTTAGATCACAAATTGCAGAGTAATGAATTTGGGAAAGTTCAAAAATACACAGGTGCTTCAGAGAATGTAGGAACTACTCCTAAAAAGAACGATTATTTAACGTTACACCAACTATTACCACTATTAGATCTGAAAGATGATTTCGTTAAATACTTTGATAATTTTATCGAGAAACATGGTGACGATTATCTTTGTCATTTGTGTCATGTTAAACTATTATCGATGTCTGCAGTTCTATCTCATATGGAACAACAATATCATCACAATTTAGTTACTCGTAAAGAATCAGAAAATAACATCAGACCTCAATGTCAAGGTGATCCAAATCGTTGCAAATTACTTGTTCAAAGTGGTATTTTTCCACTCGGTTCATATTTTTGGTGTGATGCATGTCAATGCATTTTAGAATCATACATAGATGCAAAAAATCACTCTCGTAAATTGAAACATCAAGAAAAACTTGATCGTCATTTTGATTCTTCAAAAAAGGAAAACAAGGAATTGTTAGTCAGCGAAAAAAATAAAAAAGATAATGAAGTTATTGTTCAAAAGTATCCAAATTATATTTATTTTGATTACAAAGATGATGATGAAAAAATGTTAACATGTTCCATCTGCTTTTGTACACAGTTATGGACAAAACATAAGGATACGTTGGAGCATACTTTTAGAAAATCATTTTTTCTTGACAATTTCACGGATACTCCTGGTAATTATGTTTTGTGTTTACGATGTAAGACCACTATTCCTAAAAGTTCAATTTTTTATCATGCTTCTAAAGAACATCAATTGATACCGTGGTACAGACCACCTGATGAGTTTATTATATACTTTAAAAACTTTATTCAACCAATGGATAGAAAATACTATTGTTATTTATGTAAAGAAGTAATTCTTAGTTGGTATCTTGCTATAAATCACATAGAAGTTATTAAACACTCTGAATGCTCGAAAAGACCGATTCTAGAAATAGATGTTTATCAACAAACTTCAAAATCCGATTTCTGTGAAACAATGTCAACTAATGGAATTTTTCCGTTCAATATTACACAATTAAGATGTTGGATTTGCTTGTCTATTGTTGATCGTTACACTGTGTTTAGACACATTGAGGGTAATAAACATCAAACTCTATTAAAGGAAAAATTATCACGATCATGTGAAGCAGCTACTGATCAAGAATCTACAGTTGACGTTGAAACTTTACTAGTTCCTGATCAAGAGTCTACAGTAGCTGTTGAAACTCCATCAGTTACTGATCAAGAATCTACAATCACTCAGTCAGTTACTGATGAAAAACATACAGAAGCCGTCGGAACTTCATCAAATACTGATGAAGAATCTACAATAACTCTTGAAGCTCAATCAGTTCCTATACAAGAAGACATAGTTTTGGGGTCAAGATTTAAAACTGCCGAAGATGAATGTTAAAATTCAACAAATCCGTTCAAGAATAATGAAGAATTTTTCAAATCAATAGGTCTAGAGAAAGGTATATTTTTGCAATATTTCGAAAATTCAATGGGAGGATCTGTTAAAAAGGATAAGATACACTTCTATTTATGTCATAAATTTTCTTTTACTGTCCTAAAAGTTTTAGAGCATATAGATGATGAACGGCATCAGAGACTTAAACAGAACATTTATGATGAAAATGAAATTATGATTAACAATTCTAAGAATTTGAAATATTTTAAATTATACTTTAAGAATTTCATAATTCCCTTCAAACATGAAGTATTAATTTGCGTTAAATTTAATCAGTGCCCTTGGGCCATCAGAAATTAACGAACACTTTAAAATAAAAGAACACAAAATGTTGTGAATTCAAAAATACTCGAAGTTACAAAAAAATAGATCCTTTGCGTTGTAAAGATAAACTCACTTTTTTATGTAATAAAAATGTTGGTAAAAGTACTTTGAAGGATAAAATTGATAACTGTAGACTTGAAAAGAAACTGAGAAGCGACTCATCAAGAACAGTAGTTCATTAATAATCAAGTGTATATACTTCATCGTAAATCAAATTATCAAAATATATTTGAACCGAATAATAGAACTCGAAATTTTAAAATTTCTTATTCATATGAAAAAATTTTTCTGTCTAATATTTCTTTCGTTACACTTGTTAAAATAAATTCTTACTTAAATTTATTTCGGTGGTGGGGCTGATTTGTATTATTTTGCAAAAATTTTTGAGTTCTTTTGAAATAAAACATATTTTACTTAACATGCATTTATTGTTTATTTGGTTTTAATTTTTATTTTATACTTACCTGAAACATACTTTTATTCCAATTTATTCAATGCAATTCTAACGACCAATCAAAATTATTCGAAATTTGTAGATAATCGCTTAAAGAGTTTTTGTTTATAAACATAAGAATTATTTAATTAGTATCATATTACTTGGCGAGTAAATAACAAAATGATTAATATCGTAGATGTAAAGTAATTAAAAAAAAGCCCATTTACATGTAATTTAATTTTAAATTATCATTAATTTTATTTTAATATTAACATAAGACGTCATCTTTTTTTCAATTTTTATTATTGATAAATAAATAATTAAACAATCAATTAATGCAATAAAAATTATGAAATTTTTACAATATTTTTTATAGTTTGTCAGCCTTGTATATATGAATAGTATTGCTATTTATTTCAGTTTATTTACTTCTCGATAAGTCGATTGGACTACTACATTCCGCCCACCATAACGAATAGACTAATTATATTAAATAATTAAATAACCCTCATATTAGGAATTATAATGATTATCGTAACAAATCGTAAACTATATAGCCAATCACAAAATTTGAAAATCATGAAATCCAGCTGTACGTTGTTTTGCATTCTAAATTACTATATTTACTATATAGTTTGGAATTTTCGTTACTCTCACGCCATTTTAGTCTCAGTTGTCTGCAAGCAACTTCTAAGTCTCGTAATTTCATTGTTGAGCCAAGAACACTGTGACACGTGCATAGAAATAAAAGATATATTATAAAATTGGCTTATCATTACTTTTGGTAAGTAATATATTATCACATAATTGTTAATTAGTTTAATAAAAATAAGAGTGAAAGTAGCAGCAGAATAAAAAATACCAATAAATTATGTTTAGAAACGTTAATTTTATAATTACGCTTTGGAGAAGTTTATAAGTCGAGTGGTACAAATATATTGCTTCATGTATATTTGTACAATGAAGAATTTTTCAAATCAATAGGTCTAGAGGAAGGTATATTTTTGCAATATTTCGAAAATTCAATGGGAGGATCTGTTAAAAGGGATAAGATACACTGCTATTTATGTCATAAATTTTCTTTTACTGTCCTAAAAGTTTTAGAGCATATAAATGATGAACGGCATCAGAGACTTAAACAGAACATTTATGATGAAAATGAAATTATGATTAACAATTCTAAGAATTAAAAATATTTTAAATTATACTTTCAGGAGCATATTTTCAAAAATTTTATGTTTAAATTCTTTAAATTTAGAGCAAAAAATGAAGTGAGGCTTTTTGATGCTGCCGGTGGTACAAGATGCCTGAATACAGCGTCAATAACATATTTTATTGCATTATGCAAGCCCAAAAGCCACTTGGGTTGACAGCTGGAGCTTTGATACTCTCATTTTCTAAAAATAAAAATAAATAATACAATTAATAAATTTATAACAACAATAATTACACCTAAAAGAAAAAAGTACTTACACTTCATGATTGAATTGCACAGTAAGTCAGAAAGAGACTTACTATATAAATATTAACGCAAGTATTATTCTGCGACGAAAGAGACGTATTATATATACTCCCACAAGATAATAACATGCTTGCACCAATATTAATTATTTTTTAGTAATAAAATAAATACGTTATAAAAAAAAAATATCAAATACGAAATTTAAAAAAGGCATCAAAATATTTGTGTGCTCTAATTTTAACATTTGTATTATCATTCACGTTTTCACGTGAAAATAAACAATTATTCACATCATCGGTATTTGATAATAAAATTACAATTAATTATTTATTTAGTTTGAATTGTTTATTTACGTCCACCTTCATCTTCAGCCTACTACAATCTGACATCTGACTGCATCTGACTATCCTTTCGAGGTTACGTCAATTTTGTTGAAATTTTTTAATTGGCGGCTGTAAAATTCAAGCGCGAAATTATTTAAAATTTAAAACTAATTTATAACGATTCATATAGATCATATAGAGTAAAAAAAGAAATTCAAAGTTACAAAACAAAAAAATTAAAGATTTTTGTCCATCTTGGCAAGGTTTATTTTTAGTTTATTTTAAAAAATATTTATTATCATATAATGAATTAAAAAAAAACGCATTTATTATATTTTTATTATTCATTAGAGGATAATTGTGTTACTAATGATACTGGTGATATAGGTTATAAGAGTAACCTAACAGATCTGGGATTGGTAAATATCGAAAAATACCGGGCGAGTAACTATTTGTACAATAGTGTTATAACCGCGCTCAAAAGATGGACTCGCTACCCGTTGATCGGTGGGGATAAACACACACACATTCAAATTTTCGTCGACATTCTCCTACTATTACACACTACACAACTCAAGTGAATAGGTATTATGAATAAATAAATTAATAAATATTACATTATAATATGGTCATTTGCAATTGTAGGAACTCCTACAAATTGATGGCCCCGACAAGTACGTGTATCTACAATATAACCGACGTTTCGAATACAATCGCGATGCGATCGACTAACTTACTTGCACCCCTGTGAAAGAAAGAGAAGAACAAATAAAAATTAAATTAGCCGACATCTAAAAATTTTTTTTCAATAAAAAAATTTGAAATGTAGAAAATTTGAAAAATTTCAAGTGCAAATTAAAAAAAAAATTTTTTACTTATAATTTTTATTGGTTCAAAAAATCAAAAATTGTTAAACGTCTGCTAATTTTAGTATTATGAAAAACAAAGCACCATGAATGACACTAAGACGCTTACCCGAAAATCAAAAACCTCAAAACGACCCAGAAAATCGAAGCGACTTATTAAACTATGCAGGAATGCCTGAACTACCAAAAGTAACCCATTTTTTGGGACTCAACAAAAAATCCACAGAAGGAACAAACCCAGGCCAAAATCAACAGCACAGAAATCTCACAACAGAAAACAGGTGGTGGAACTTCACCAGGTAATCAGTCCTCTAATAATAATGATTCATTTAGTACAAGAAACCACAAGTGACACCAACCGCAGTATTACCCGCCTATGTTCTTTACACTAACAGCAGTATTCGCAAACTACTGACCTCCCGTGTAGTATGCTCTCTTAAAAGAAATCAGTGGAATTTCACTGGTTCACCAGTGAAATTATTATTCTAGTTGAATCAGGGGAATTCCACTGATTTATTGTAAGAGTGTGTTGACCCCGATCAACTATCACATGATTAAAACTTTGATTTTATTTTTAAAAAAGTCTAAAAATTAGATTAACTCTTGATTGATCGAAATTAAAAGAAGATAACGGTTCGTATCGGTCAAATATAAACGACAATTTTCAACAATAATATCATTAGTAGTTACATTTTAAAAACAAGATGCTGAAAGTTATCATCTTATTTATTTCTGCTGCGGTCATCATAGGTGACTATTTTGTTATATAAGTTCTATTCTTTTTTATTGTGATTATTTGCTAATTGTTATTAGTAAATCAAATATTTATTTACTAATTAAAATATTAAACCTCAAAAATAATTTTTTTAATTAATTTCAGTCGATCCATTGAAAAATCAAATTCATTTAACTCAAAATGCTACAATTGAGGAATTTCCCTACCAAGTAGGTATCCAGCGTTTTGGAGAGAGCTACTGTTCTGGAGTAATTGTTTCCGAAAAAATGATACTTACCGCTGCAACTTGCAGTGCAGCTGTTGGTCGAAAAATTCGATTTGGAAGTACTTTTGATAATAAAAACGGAACTCTTCACACAATCATTAAGATTATTTTATACGAAAAATTTGTATGGGACGATTTTACTGATCAAGTTCCAGTTTATAACATTATGTTGCTAAGAGTAAATGAACCCTTTGTATTCAATAAAACTCGTCAGCCGATACTTCTCCCGGAGCCTGATAAAGACATCTCTGCGTATGATGTAGGTTACTTGACCAGGTGGGGTATGTTTGAAGATGATGATTCTCCTCATGCTTTGAAAAAAATTTCCGTGCCAATTTTATCAGAAGAAAAATGTAACGAGAGCTATTCTGAGATTGGTGGAATTCAGGACGACCAATTTTGTACAAGTCCACCAGAGACTAGGGAACAAGATTCTTGTTTCAAATTCTCAGGCAGTCCTTTGACTGTCAACGGACGCGTTCTTGGAATTTTAGTCTGGGAAAAAACAAGAAATTATCAAGTATACACAAAAATCGCTTCGTACGTATCTTGAATCCAAGAAAAGTTGCAGTAGACTTTCCATGAATGCTTCCGTAATCTTTACATAAATACTCTAATAAATTTTGTTTTTATGATCAAAATAAACATATACTATTGATTTTCACAAAAAGAAAATCCATGAGTTTCCTTTCATTTTCATAATATTCTTAAAATACAGAAAGTAAAAATTTTCAAATTGGGTGTATTTTCTTAGTTTCTTTCAAGTGAACTGTAAGTTTGATAAAAAAAAAAAAATTCATAGTGAAATCTCGATAAAATTTTGTAATTCAGTAACTTTTAGAAAAGTCGAAACATAACCACGAAATTTTATTGAGATTTTACGATTAATTGCTTTGAAAATCTATGATTAAACATACTTCTTGATACAATCCAATATTTTTTAGTTTAAAACGGTTTGCTGAAAGCATCACTTTTTCTGAACAAGGAAATAGTTGATTAAAATTTTTAATATTTTGTTGGATTCCATTAATTGTAATAGTGCTTATCTATCTTAATATTTACAAATTTTTGAGTGATTAATTAACCATAATGGGAAAACCACAGAAAATGCCCAAAGTGATTAAAGTATCATTACCTCTTGAATTCTAATATTTTTTCTGTTATTATTTTTATTAAATAAAAAGTATAAAACAGTAGTTTGATTATCAGCCAAAGTACCAGATCCAAACTTTCGATAAAAATCAATTTTATTTATTTGTTACTACAACGTTTCAACATGTAATCTCATGTAATTAAAAGTTACCCAGGTTGTCTTTCTCGCTCTTGTTGGTGTTTTATAAAAAATTGAGACAGAACTACGGTAACTTTTAACAGCTTTCACAGTAATATAATTAAATCGAGTCTAAAAAAATATTTTATTTAATTTCAAAACATGTGTATAATCCTTAATTTGTTAAAGTTTTTCACTTTGGAATTAATTCCACTATTATAAAACTGCATTTTGATGTATATTGTATTTATCTATCTTTTGTATCTGTTAATTTTTATTATAAACATTGTTTAATAATTATGTTAATTGATTTATGTAATTGTAATTTAATAATTTTTATGATGTAACCACGTGCAGTACTTTCTGATTTTAAATCTTTGATCGGGTACTTGGGCTGATAATCAAACTACCTTTTTATTAAGTAAAAACAGCGTTTTTTATATCACATATTGAATGTATTATTTTTATAGTACTTGGTAACTAAAATTAAATTGGCAATTTTTGCAATAATTGAAGTATGCAAATTTTAATAATTTTTATCTTCTCTTCGAAATAATTACGTATTTTAAAATAAAACATCATAAATTCTTGATAGTTATTTATGTGTTCCCATTGATACTGATAATGGTATATATTAAAAATTTTTTTTCAATTGAAAAAAAAAACATATTTTATGTTATGCCGCTTCATTCTCTCTTTTTATTTAATTTATTCTAATTGGTTTCAAAATTAATAATTTAATTTCTAAAATATTAATATTTATTTTTTTAACAATGTTACTAATAAACACTCGAATGTTTCAGGTAAAAAATAAAACACCAGCCAAAATTCAAATCACTGCAGAGCAGTTGTTGCGGGAGGCCAAAGAACGAGACTTTAGAAATACTTCCGGCTCCGAAGAAACAAAAAATTTCTGATCCCCATGAGCTAGAAGACTACCAACATCGTAAACGTAAAGCCTTCGAAGACACCATTCGAAAAAATCGTATGGTAATATCAAATTGGATCAAATACGCTGAATGGGAAGAAACCCAAAAACAGATCGCTCGCGCTCGTTCTATATACGAACGAGCCATGGATGTCGATCATCGGAATATAGCACTTTGGTTAAAATACTTGGAAATGGAGATGATCAACCGTCAAGTCAATTATGCTCGGAATTTATTCGACAGAGCAATCACAATTCTCCCACGAATCAACCAGTTTTGGTACAAATATACGTATATGGAGGAAAAGTTGGAGAATATCGCCGGAGCAAGACAAGTTTTCGAACGTTGGATGGAATTGGAACCTGATGAGCAGGCTTGGCAGACTTATATCAATTTCGAGTTACGTTATAAAGAACTTGACCGTGCACGAAAAATATATGAACGTTTGGTAATGATTCATCCTGATGTCAAGAATTGGATCAAGTACGCAAGATTTGAAGCTAATAATGGTTTCATTAAAGGAGCACGAAGCGTTTATGAACGTGCTGTTACTTTTTATGGTGATGAGATAGATGATCGACGAAAAACTTTATCTCGCATTTGCTCGATTTGAAGAATCTCAAGCATGACCGTGCTCGGTTTATATATAAATACGCTATAGATCATATCCCTAAAGAACGAGCTGAGGAAATTTATAAAGCATACACCATTCATGAGAAGAAATACGGGGACCGAGAGGATATCGAACTAGTAACTGTGAGTAAACACAACAATAAATACGATCAGTTAGTAGAGAAGGATCCTTACAATTATGACACATGGTTCGATTATCTGAAACTGATGGAATCTGAAAAAAATCATGATCAGACCCGGGAAGTTTATGAACGTGCTATTGCGTACGTTCCTCTAAAAAAAGAAAAAGAATATTAGCATCGTTATATTTACCTGTGGATTAACTACGCACTGTTCGAAGAAGTTGAAACTCAAGATCTCGATCGCTGTCGTGATGTTTATAAAGTTTGTCTTTGATTGATTGATTCCGCATAAAATATTTACGTTTGCCAAAATTTGGCTTATGTATGCAAAGTTTGAAATTCGTCAAAAAAATTTAGACGTCGCGCGTAAATGTTTGGGCTCAAGTTTAGGAATGTGCCCTAAAAACAAGCTGTTTCGTGGATACATTGAATTGGAAATGGGGCTACGTGAGTTTGATCGCTGCAGAAAACTTTACGAAAAATGGTTAGAGTACGAACCGGAAAATTGTACCACTTGGATGAAATATTCTGAATTAGAAACTCAGCTAGTTGATCTAAATCGTGCACGTGCAATTTATGAGCTTGGATTGAAACAGCCACGACTAGATATGCCGGAATTGTTGTGGAAATCGTACATTGATTTTGAAATTTCACAAGAGGAACCACAGAATGCACGACAGATATTTGAGCGGCTGCTTGAGCGATCAATTCACGTGAAAATTTGGATAGCATATGCCAAGTTTGAATTATGTAATAAGTATGAAGATGTGGATCCAGTTAGCGTTGCTAGACGAGTATTTGAACGTGCTAATACTGCATTGAAAATGAATGGAGATCGAGAAAGCAGAGCTATATTATTGGACGCTTGGAAAGATTTTGAAATGAATAAAGGAGATGAAGACAGTAAAAAGAAAATTATGGATAAAATGCCAAAAAGAATCAAGAAAACTATGTCATGTTAAGGTCATGGTTGAAGATGGGATGGAATGATATTGATTCCAAAAAACTAAATGAGTAAATTCACGAAGATAATATGCTCTTGATCAAAACTTTCGATAATCTTAAGCTTAGAAAATGAGTTTGAAGACAAGAAATTCTTGAATCAAACGAACTGATCCTCTCAAAAATTATTCTTTTAGATCAAGAATATTTCTCTTGAATCAAGTAATTTTTCTCCGGTGTCCATTAAAAAATTTATTTTTTTACAAAATTTAGTAGAAACACTGTTTTATTAGATATAAATTAGTTTTCAAAATATTTATATAAAAACTACTAGTCAAATACATTAAATCCAAATTTTTTATACCTATATCAAAACAGCCTAATAATAATAACACAAAGATTATCCAATATGACCCAAAGCTCGCAGGACTGTATATTTACATTTTTCCAACAGTAATAGTGATAAATATTTAAACGATTAATAATGATTTCTTATTTCTACAAAGTTAAATGTCTAAATTTGGAATCATGTGTGGCTCAGTGCCTGTGAATCAACGACCATGACGTCCGATAGTACCTAGAGATGAACATAATTCAAAGTTATATTTATATGCGACAGTTAATGTTTCTCTATAATAATAAAGTCATAAAATGAACCATAGCTCCATAAATTAATTCAAGTTTTTTTATTTATAATAAGAAAAAAAAAAACAATTTGCTAAAACAAATTTATATTTTTTGGCATTATGACAGCACATATTGAAAAACATAATAAAATTTATGTGAAGGTAATGAATACATACGTATTCATATCAAAGAGAGATCGAAATTTCATTATGTAATAGTTGACAATTTACGTCACATATAGTTGTGACAGAAACGCGAAATTAAAAAATATTGCACACTTTTAGCGTGAACGCAATTATTGGTTCATAATTTTTGTTATATTTAAAAATATATGAAAATTAATTTAGCAGATATTTTATAATTTTAAGAATTTTTTTACACCAAATAAATTATGTCAAAAAAAGTGAGAAAAAAAATTGACATTTAGAAAATTAAAAAAATTAAAAATGCAATTTTTTAGAAATAATTTTTCGAAGCAAATTTATTTATTAAAAAAAAATTAAAAAATGATCAAGCGACTGCTAACTTTAATGTCAATAAAAATATTTAAGTTTCAATACATTCAAATTTAAAAAAGAATGTCTGTTAGACATTGATAGTCTATTATCGCGGACTTCTTAGTATTTCTTTTAATAATTCAGTGTAACATAAAGCATGTTTTTATATATATACATTTTTATATTTATATAAAATTTATAGGTATAAAGTTTGTATATTTACACCAAACATCGAAGCACTAGAAGCAGCTGCAAAAGTATAAGTATAAATTTCCAAATAAAAGCGTAGGTGGATATAGAGATTTAACTTTGCCAATCAAATGTCGCGAGTATCAAGACGAGTGTCGTCACGCCCAAACACGAAGCATTAACTTAACTCATGTTTGCGTCTATTTTATATAAATATACATATTATACTCTTATAATATAAGAGGTGGTGAACGAGCCAACTGTTAATGTTAACGCAAATGAAAGTTATATCTTGACAACTTGATACTGTGCAATGGTTCACAATGCATGTTTTGGTTTATTTACTGAAGCAATTAATTATCGATAGTTTTGTTGCAAAAAAATGGCGGAGTTTGAAACTATTCATCAGGAGTCCAAGCATTCTTCTTGGTTGTTTACGAGGTAACGATGCATGAAAGTTGTTTTAATTTAACATTAACCGCTATGATATTGTGATCTTGTTGTTTTATTTACTAAAAAGCTTCCTAAGAAACGCTTGATTTAATTCCGCGTCGGCAAGCATAGACATTATATTATTGTAACACGGTCTAGGCGAGGAACGCGTTTCTTGGAGTAATGTAAAGCGAGGGCGGCTCAAACACAGAACACCGTCTACTAACACTTAAAACGTGTGACGGAAATACCCCAAATAGAATACGAAGTCGGGAATAGGCCGTTAATCCTAACGACGATAGGTTCTTTCTAAGGCTCTCATATATGCATTGGCTTGGATGTCTATATGTATGTGGAAATATTCTTAAGCTAAACCGTTTTGATACGTCTTTACCTCCTTAACACTACTGTAAGCTTCATATCTGATTCTTGGCGGTATTAAAATTAATAATAGGTCTTCTTGTCTTCTACTTTACATTTAACAACTCTAATTAGAATTAAATTCGTTTATTTATACACAATTATCCTCATAGGTTCCAATTAAAATTTTGTTTTAGAAACAGTTTAGAACATTGTTCGTTTATTTATAAACTTCAAGTTTTTGATGATGATTGTTAGGATTTTCAATTCACAGAATTATTAAATTACTATGAAGTAGTTAGCTAGTTGTTAAGTAGAAAAAAATCGGCCTGTTCCCCTTTGCTGGCGAACTTTAATTTTAACGGCAGCAAAGCGGAAAAAGACAAATCCTCATCTACCTCATTTCCTGTAAAAAAATTTTTTATGTTAAGTACAATAATAATAATAATAATACCCACACAGAAAAAAAAATTTTCTTGAATCAAGTATATAATTTTGAAGAAGTTAATATTCTTGATTTAAGGAAATTTTACTTGATTCAAGACAATTACCCTCTTCAAAATTATGTTCTTGGTTCAAGAATTTTTCTCTTGAATCAAGTTAATTTTTTTTTTCTGTGCAAGAAAAATTTCTTTGATAAAATCATATCTTGTTGTTGATGCTCAAGTCAACCTTTCTGAGTTTTACTTATATTTTTACAAAATATTGTTATTATGAGTGTCTTGAATATAAATATGTTAACTAATACTAACTTGTCTGCACATTTGAATGACTTTTGTAACTTATTATATAATCTATGCAATGTTCCATTTAGTGCTACACATAATACTGCAAAATAAATAACTGTAATCACTATAATATTCAAATTACGAAATGTTCAAATTCATATTCTTTCTTTTATGAACTAAAGTCATTAGATAGTAATTTGGATAGACTTTGTTTAGCGACAACGTTACTTTTCTTATTTCTCAGTATTACTGTCTTATTATTTTATATCCATTACTGTTTAACTAATTTTATTATTACGATGTATATATTTCTATATAAGGCCCTTAGGGAGGCTAAGGCTTCAGGGTCTAAAAATTTGGTAAATAAATAAATGGCTTGATGTGTCTACATATGATTCTTGATATGACCTAATCTTAATATGCCTGTATCAGGCTTAATATAGTCATATATGGTCTATATAATTTTTTAATTAAAATTAACATTTAAAATCTTTGACAGAGGACGCATAATCGCTAAATTATCTTCTTACAAGGTTCTAAAATAAAAATGATATCTCTTTTGAATCTCCTAAAAAGCTTATATGTCACTGGCTTTAGTTCAATCAGCTACTAAGCAAATTTTTGTTTAATACAACATGTTAATTGACATATATAATTTTTAAGGAAATAAAAAATTGAAAAATTGTAATAAATACTTTTTTTAATTTTACAAAAAGCCTGTAATGACTTTTGAACAGATAAAGCCATAGAAAGCCACTTATGGCTATATCAAAAAAATTTTTTACGGATAATAACAATAAATTCTTATAATGGCAAATTCTTAAAGTTGATAAAAGATTTGTCTTTATGAAAATTTGGACCAAATTATTCATAAAAAATGAGTGTTATAAATATCTAATTAATACAGAAAAATTCACAATAATATCAATGACAATATACCAGCAATATAAAAGTAACAGCTTACGGTGACGACACAAATTACAAGTGAGACATTATTTTCTCTACACATCACACGTAATCACCATAAAATATTATAAATGAAGGCTAGAATAATTGTTCCAAGATTTACAGCTTGTTTCAAACATAACGGCTGCGCTTTTTAGTCACCGCCAACTCTAACAATTCAAATGTTGAAGTATGTTGTTGCGGTTTCCCCGAAAATACTCCCAACTACAACTTAGACCACCTGGTTGCGTACCAATTCTCACATTGCACTTTCATTTTCATAATTTATCCATCCTTCCAAAAAAATTAAATTACTACTTTTATTATTATAAATATTGATAGGGTTGAAGAATTCGCTTTGCAATAGAAAAATTTCCTCTCCATTTGCTGAATCACTATTTTAAAAATAAATAAAAAATAAAATGAATGAATTTAATTATAACCTTATCTAGGATTAGTTTCGTTCAAGGAAACAGAAATTCAATACTTTCGATATTTTAGTTTAATAGTTATGTGAAACCGCTTAAGATATACACGTCTATAATTAGAATCTCTTTTACGACTAAAAATTAAAATCTGTACGTGATATAAACGCAACTGCCCTATAAAATTTAGTTCCATTTATATTCAGTACACTAAACATGAGCATGCATCAAAAAAAGTTTAAAACTTGCATTAAAATTGAAAGCCCTATCGCTTTGCTAATTTGCAACAAATGTAGCAACGAAGCCTAAAAATACCCTCAATAAAAATTGGAGTAAAAATATACATTAAAACTCTTGTCTTTTTGCGTTGGTCTACTTCAGTGTGATTTCTTATATTCAATTGTTTATTCTCCGCTTGATCTGGCTTGGCTCTTAAATTACATTACTTCCAGAAATGTTTTATTTGTTTGGATTGGCATAGTCGACACGTAGACGCCAAAATTCCATCCACACCCGCTATACCATGTCTCGTCTAACTCTTATCCCCGTCGATTATCTGGTGTTGAGCTTTAAGCCAAGGCATCATTCTTCTCTCATTTTCCCTCATTATCTTCTTGCACCTTTTGTTTCTTTTTAGTCTACACTCATTATTCTCTTATTTTCGTTGTAGTTTCATTTGTTTATTTCTTCCATTTTCCATTTTATCATCTTCGGCAGAGTTTCGTCCCGGTGGCCCGCTTAGCGACTAAGAGAAGAAATTATCTGGAACCGACTGTCACTAACAATATGCCACAAACTTTTTTTTTTCTTGTTGAAA